ATTTTATTTTATTGTTAATCTTCACCCAAAGATATTTTTCCATTGATTTTTAGAACCTAGGACCCTTCAGTCCACAGGACAATGCTCTATCCACTGAGCAAAACTGGCTAGGGCAAAATCGTTCTTATTTTAAATAGTCAAGTGAAAAAATGTGAAATTATCGTAATGTCTAAAAGGTACACTTTTAATTCCCTCCGGATTTCATAACTTCTACCAAGCTTTTGAATGGTTACTACTTTGAAAAAAAATTCTGATTTATAAACGTCTATCCTGAACTATAATACTGGACCAGGTTCACATACTGGAGTTGCAAATAACCAGTAGTGTAAGTTTCGAAAACACAAGTCACATTTTCCAAAGCCCCCACCCCCACATCTCAGCCTACTAGCATTCATTTTAAGTGTCCCCTTATTTTGGGAAAGCCACCACGGTTTCATTACTTAAATACCATCTGTACCTCTTTATCCAAAGAAGCAAAGAGCCCCTTAGCAAAGCCAAATGTGAAATTATTCATTTTGGATATTTTCAAAATAGGTTATAGTGGGTTGTTTTTTAAAAATGTGAGGTTGATTTGGTTTATTAAAGTCATCTCCTTAACATACTTCTGCTCTGATAAAAAAAATACGGGTCTTTTAACGAAACTTTGTGTTTCATCTGCTATGTTTTAAAAACTATATGAAAACTGGATTAAAGCATCAAATAAAATTGCCAACAAGTTATGCTTTTTGTTTTCTAATACTGACAACCACAATAGCCTTTTGGTAGGTTCTTTTATTGGTTCACAGGTAGTGAAAGTGCCCAGGTGTGTCCAAATTATAACACTAAGTGTGCTTTCTAGCTCTACTTACAAGTTCTTGAGAGTCCGTTATTGTATGGCAACAATAAGGCATACCATCTGCAAACGGATAGGCCCAAAACAGATCAAGTCACAGGTTCACTGTTGATTAAGTACTTTTTGCTAATCACTTCTCTGATCTTAAGCTCCCATATACACTCATATCTAACCTGGAGAGTATTATGCTAAGCAAAATAAGCCAGCCAAAGAAAGACAAGCATCACACGATCTCACTCATATGTGGAACCTAATGAATAAAATAGATCCAGAGACTTAGAAGCAGGGAACAGACGGAAGAATCTCAGAGGGAAGCCAGAGAGGGGAGTGGGTGGGAAGAGATCCACCAAAGCATTTATATTCACATATGCACAAACCACGGACATAGACAATAGTGTGGTGAAGGCCTGGGAAACAGTAGAGGTGGGGACAGGGGTTAATGGGTGAAAAAAGGGAGACATCTGTAATACTTTCAACAATAAAGATAAATTTTAAAAAATAGTCACTTATTTTAAAAAAGATTAGATAGTACAATTGCTGCAAACATGATTAATATACAAAAATCAGCCAATGAGAGCAATTTTTTTTAATTGGAAAAATTCATTTAGTAATAGAGGCCTGGTGCACGAAATCCATTCACTGGGGGTGGGGGCATCCCTCAGCCCGGACTGCACCCTCTCACAGTCTGGGATCCCTCTTGCAGTCCAGGACCCCTTGCTCCTTACCGCCTGCCTGCTCACTGCTCCTTACTGCTCTGCTCACTGTTCCTTAGTGCTGCTACCACCACTGCGCTCACCAGCCATGAGCCCAGCTTCTGGCTGAGCGGCACTCCCCCAGTGGGAGCACACTGACCACCAGGGGGCAGCTCCTGCATTGAGCATCTGCCCCCTAGTTGTCAGTGCACATCATAGCGGCCAGTCATTCCGCCATTTGGTCGATTTGCATATTAGGATTTTATTATATAGGATATTTGTATATTCTATATAAACGAATTAAATTTTCATATATATATAATATAGACATTAACATACATGTATAATGCACAGTATATGACCTAAAAAGAAATATGCAAAACCTATGTGAATTAAAAACTTTAAAAATTACCAAGGAATATAAAAGATCTAAATAAGTAAATACATATACTATATGGGAGTGTTGTAAATATGTCATTTTTTTCTCTACAAATTAATCTGTACTTTTAAGGCGTCTATAATGAAAATACCACCAGAAATTTTTTGAAAATGTGACAAATGCATTAAAAAATTTCATTTGGAAGGAGAAATGGATAAGATTACCTAAAAAAATACAAAGCTGAAATACAAGACTATTGAAGGGGCACTTGCCTTTCCAGACATCAAACTGAATTATTTAGCTAAGTTAATTAGAATAACTCTACACTGGTGAAGGTTTAGAGCAACCGTGGGCAAACTACGGCCCGCGGCCTGTTTGAAATGAAAAAAACTAAAAAAAAAAAAAGACCGTACCCTTTTATGTAATGATGTTTACTTCGAATTTATATTAGTTCACACAAACACTCCATCCATGCTTTTGTTCCGGCCTCCGGTCCAGTTTAAGAACCCATTGTGGACCTCGAGTCAAAAAGTTTGCCCACCCCTGGGTTAGAGAATTAGACTGTGCACTCACACAAAACAATAGGTATTCTGACATAAAATTAAACTTCCACAGGCAAACGGTCTGAAAGGTCAAAGGACAAATGAGAATCTGGGAAAATGTTTACAACATAAGACAAAAATTTAATAACTTTTTAAAATATATATATATTTTATTGATTTTTTACAGAGAGCTAGAAACATCAATGAGAGAGAAAGATCAATCAGCCGCCTCCCGCACACTCCCGCAACCAAGGCACATGCCCCCGACCGGAATCGAACCTGGGACCCTTGAGTCTGCAAGCCGACGCTCTATCCACGGAGCTAAACTGGTCAGGGCAAAAATTTAATATCTTTAAAATAAAAATGTTCTTACCAATCAATTTTTTACTGGTAAGACAAAAAATCTCAATATTAGAACAAAAATATAAACATAAAATTGAATGTCTGTAAAACATATTAAGATATTATTTATCCTTACTAAGCAAAGTAAATTTGAGCAATGAAAAATTTTCCTCTACTAACTAGACTGGCAAAGATTAAAAAGGATAATAGTCAATAATATTGTAATAACTGTTTGGTGCCACATGGGCACTGGAAATATTGGGGGTAACACTTTGTAACATATACGATTATCTAACCATGATGCTCCACACCTGAAACTAATCCTATATAATAAAAGCGTAAGATGCAAGTCGGCCCAACGGCAGAACAACCAGTTGGCGGGGGGGCCGGGGCCTGCAAGCAGGCATGCCACACCAGCCAAGGTGCGTGCCAGCAGGCAGAGGGAGAAAACAGAGATGGGGGGGAGGTGGCAGCGACCAGGGTAGGCAGAGGGGCTATGGGGGGGGGCGGGGGAGAGCGGGACACGCCCACCGGTGCTGTCCCCTGATTGGCTGCCTGGTCGCCTCCCACAGAGGGAGGTCAATGGCAGCGACAGGGTGATGGGGGTGGGAGCTGTCCCGATTGCCCGCCTGATCGTCTCCCGTAGAGGGCCTAAGCTGTCAATAGGACATCCCCTGAGGGCTCCCGGACTGTGAGAGGGCGCAGGCCGGGCTGAGCTACGCCCCCTGAATGCATGAATTTTCGTGCACCAGGCCTCTAGTACAAAATAATATTGAATGCAAACTGTAATTGAAAACAGTTTTTAAAATTTAAAATACAATGATAAACACAATATTAGCAAAAGCGTAGAGAAATGGACACTTGCATAGAATGGTAGTGAAGATGTAAATTATTGCAGCTTTTAGAAGGTATCTACTAAAATATTAAATTTACATTTCCTTTGACCCCATAATTTTACATGTTGGCATATATTCTATAGAAAAACATGCAACCCATAAATAAGGTAGCTCTGTGTGTACTGACTTAAAAAATATCTAATAGCATATTGCACTGTGTGTGCATGTTAACTTTTAAAAAGAAAGGAATTTGAAGAACAGTGTGCAAAATATGATCTCATATTTGTATATGTAAAGAAAAGTATCTCAAAGTTTACAGTCAATCACTTGACATCCTTTGCAATAACTGACTACTTTTGCCTAAGTATAAATTCTTTTTTATTGCTACATATAAGTCTGGGGGAAAGATCTCATGTTTCTAACACGAAATTCTGTATCCAACGGAACATTTTTTTTCAAACGGGGCTTATTTCTTTCTTGTAAAGGATAAATGGCTATAAAAAAATTTAACTATAGAATATCTTTTTAAAGTTTTGAAAATGCATTTATTTTCCAAGCATTTGTTGGGTGTGTTAGGCTCTGAGGACATGAAATGAACGAGACGTTATCTCAGCCTTCACAGAGCCCAAACAGACGGAGAGGGACAGACCAGTGTACAAATAAGTACCATACAGAGTTGGAGTGACTGCGACAGCAGTGTCTGTGGGGATAACATGGGAAGGAGAGGTCACTGGAACTGGAGGCAACCATATCAGAGTTAAGCTTATGCTTGAGCTAAATCCTAAGATGATGTGTTGGCCAGATGGACAAGAGAAAGGGAGTAAGTGCAAATGAGATATATATGCTTACACATGAGCGGAGTATTTCTAGATAGCGTGCCAGGAAGATAAAACGAGGAATTTTAATGCCAAGTATCAAACCAAAACAATATAAATCCAAATAAATGAAACCAAACTTAAAACAATTCCTACAACATTCATCTAATTTTGCTTTCTATGCTAGCTGAAAATTGCTTTAAGTTCTGGTTATTTCTCCAATTTCTTTTTGTCTACAAAAATGTTTTTTAAATGAATGGTTACATTTAAATCCTATTTAATGAAAAAACAAACTGCTTTGTAAATGCAAAGACTTGGTGCTTTCACTGTTTAAATTCTGACATTTTTCTAAGTTACCCTACACGGTAGTTCCGAAGCTCAACATGTTTGAGCTCAACATAAAAATACCAGCACAGGAAACATGTCTTTCGCAAAGGCTGCATTTCGCGGAGACCCTCATATTGTATCGCTGCTTTGGGTGTGTTGGGGGGCGGGGGGCACCCCTGGGCGCCGCCCCCAAGTTCTTCCCTCAGCAGCACAAGCCCCAGGGACACGCTCTTACCTCGTGAAGTGTCAGGTGCTTGCCGTCCTTCCTCTTGGAGTCGAACCTGCCGTAGATGGCGCTGTACTTGCGAATCTCCTCCTCTTTGTGGGGGTCCTCGTCGCTCATCTCGAAGATGTGGCCGATCATTTTGGCCAGCTTCTTGTTGCTCTTCAGCAGCTCTTTCACCTCGTTCGGGTCGCTTTTGGGCAGCGTGGAGGCCATGCGCTCCACACACTCGGCCACCGAGAGCGCGGCCGCGGCGTCCAGGGCCTCGCTGCTCTCCTTGGGGGACGCGGGGGAGCCCAGGTCGGCGGGGGAGAGGCTGTGCTCGCTCTCGGTGCCGTGGTGGCCCTGCCAGAGTCTGGACTCCCCGACACTGGGCAGCGCCAGGCTCCCCACGTCCGGCTTCCCCTGCCCGGGGCTCTGCACGCACGTGATGGCCGCGCACTTGGGGACTTTGACGTGCGGCTCCCGGGCGCCGCTGCTCCTGTCGTAGCTGGCACAGGGCACTCCCAGCCACGTGGGCGACCCCTCGGGCAGCTTGTAGATGGGTATGCTGCTCACGGGCAGGGAGGTGAGCGGCTGGTTGAAGAGCCCGGGGTTGGTGACCCAGTCCCGCAGCGCCTTCTGCAGCCTCCTGACATGCAGCGGCTTGCTGGCCATGCCCACGAGCGCCATGATTTCCAGGAACTCCTCCTCGCCAGCTTCGCACAGCTGCTGGACGTCATCGCCACCTTGCTGGATGAAGGCATCGAAGTAGGACAGCAGGTTGGCTTTCTGTAATATTCTGTACAGCTGCAGCTCCCCCAGCGTCCGGGGCAAGGCCGCGGCCATTACTGTGGAGGTGCTTAGCCTGCAGAGGGAAGAGGGGGAGACTCAGCACAGGGGCTCCGAACTCCGCACCCAGGACTGAGCATGTGGCTGGGAGGTGCAACACGAGACGCATCAGCAGAGCACCGGACTGGAGGAACCATGCCCTGTCCAGAAGTCATCTCCTTCTACTTCCTGACAATCCCACTGACCAGTGTAACTGTTTCCGTTTTAAGGAGAAAAATCGGAAGGCTCAGACTTGCCTGTGATCTCACTCCCTGTTGAGCAGAAGTCTAGGGACTCCAGCCAAGGTTCTAGGGGCTCCGTAGCGTGGATTTTTGACAACCACTCACTCTGCCGCCCCCATGGTGTGGACACAGAGGGGAGCGAGGGATACTCCGATTCAGGAGGAGGTAAGCCTATTACTCCACCATTCGCTGAATACTTACTTTGTGCCCGACAACATGATAAACGCTGTACATGACATTATGTCTAAACTGCAGGATAGGTTTAGTCATTCCCATTTTATAAAGAAAAAACAGCCACATCAGTCTGGTAGGAGTGGAAGAGAGCTTTCAGTATGAACTGCAGGTGAGAAGATAGAAGATGGTATATTAGGAACAAGAAAAAAAGGCAGGAAGACTTCAAACAAACAAATGACAAGACGTGGTGATCATTTAGGCCTAAGAGTTCATGGTTCCGGGAAGAAAGGAGTGATAGGTGACGACGGGAGAGTCTAGACCAGCCGTGGGCAAACTACGGCCCGCGGGCTGGATCCGGCCCGTTTGAAATGAATAAAACTATTGAAAAAAAAGACGTACCACTTTATGTAATGATGTTTACTTTGAATTTATATTAGTTCACACAAACGCTCCATCCATGCTTTTGTTCCGGCCCTCCGGTCCAGTTTAAGAACCCATTGTGGCCCTCGAGTCAAAAAGTTTGCCCACCCCTGGGCTAGACTGTGACAGGCCTTGGGGACACAGACCAATCAGGACGATGGGATCTCCTTCAAACACGTGCACTTCATGGCCAGCGCTGAGGTCTCAGTGTGGATAAGGTTAGAGATACAGGATGAAACCAGGGAGGGCGAGAGAGCCCAAGACAGAGCCACGGAAGAAACAGAAAGGGCAGAGCCAAGCAAGACAGAGAAGCCGCCTTTAAAGAGAAAGAACAAGACCCAGCAAAGCACTTCTTGACCTCTTCGCAGCCTTTACAAGTTATTCACAGTTGCCTGGAGACCTCCCACATACAAAGGTGTGGGCCAAGTACTTCCATTTAAGAGAAACAAACTTGTAATAACGCACCCTCTTAGGATTAAAAGGACCCTGCAGCCCTCTGTGGAGAAAATTACAGAAGGCGAAAAGAATGCAGAGGGAAATGGAAGCTCCACTCTCCAGTGAGAGCTGTATGGAGCCGTCACTCACTGGGAGGTGAGGCCAGCAGAGGAATGCCAGGCACATCCCCAAAGGCCAGACCAAATCCGGGACTTCCGCTGTGGGCCACCGTCAGAATGCTCCCAGGATGCGAGCCTCGGCCACCCATCCCGGGGGAGCGCCTCTCCCTGCCACGCTGAGGCGGACTCCTGGAACCCCTGCTCATCCACAATCTGCTCCCGTCAGCTAGCAACTCCTCAACTTCTCAGGCTTTTCCCTGGCAAGGGTACTGCCACGTGAACTGATGCCTTTCCGAGAGATTTCTCCCGCAAACCGCACTAGACGATCCCTGTTTGGTATCCCCTCTGGGCAACACAGACGCCTCTGCGTTGTGACCATCCAGGCTGTTAAGGCCGCCTTCACGTCCACATCACCTCAGTCCACTGGACAAAGACACTCTTGCCTCCTCCAGTCCCCACGGGCTGGTCTGCTGGTCCTCCCCTCCCATCACCCAGCTGGAAACTGGCCCACAAAAACGCAGCTCTCAGGAGGGACAGGCACGAGCTCAATTCTGTTTCCCACAGTCATACCAAACAGAAAGGCTTCTAGAAACGGCCTAAGGTGGAAGGAAAGGAACTTACTTTCCCGTCACACACCTGACGCAACAGCTCCACAGGCTATCAACTCAACAGCATACAAATACGCCTACACACCTGTGCGCGCGCACCCCCCAAATCCTCTTCATAAGAGGGCTGTAACTTCCCAAGGTCTCTATCATCAATTACCTCCTCCTATGTACTCCCCCAAGTTATGGAATAGAGGAAAGAGTATTTGAGAAAATCTAGAATACAGTTTTTGAATCTTTTTATGAGCAATAAGAAAAAATATGTTAGGCAAATAAAACTTAAAAAGAAACTTAAAAGGAGAACTAAAGACCCAAACTTAGGTTTTATTCTTCTGAGAAAAGGCCACGATTTTAGAATACATTCATTTTCAACCGTTTATCCTTTCTCATCTTTACCCAGAAGTAAAGGAAACCCCCTAGTTCCCAGGAGAAAACTCCGGTCCTGGTGAGGAAATAGTCATGATTATAAAGCTCTGTAAGGACTTGTATGTCCAAAGTCAAGATACCAGCTGAAAGCGAAGGAGGCGAACCTTGAGAGCCCCAGGCGGCCACACTACCTACTGGGAAAGGAGTTTCTCCCTAAGCTATTGCAGTGGGAAAGGCTTCAGTTCCTACAGGAGCGTGTTGTGATCACTTAAACACCCACCACTTCATATATTAGATTTAATGTACAATTTTTATATGATGAGATTCTCTGTTTTTACAAACAATTCATGCTTCGACATGAAGGTCAAATACATCAAGAGAAAGCCTCTAACTGCACCTCTCCTCACACACTCCACACAGGGAGCCAGCAGTACAGCACGTCCGCTCGGCAGTGTGTGACTCCTCCCGTGGGCCCCTCGGCACAGCATCTATCACAGCGGTGAGGTGTGGTTCCTCGTCTCCTTCCCCTGAAATGGTTCTCCGGGCGGGCGAGCCCACCTCCTCTGGATCCCCAGGACGGGCTCAGTCGCCGGCAGACTTAGAGAGGACACACCGTGGATTCAGAGAGCGGTGCACAGCCGCGGGGTGGGAGGCTTCTGGGAGAGGCCTTGGAGGTGTGAGGGAGCAGGAGGCACCTGTGAGGAATGCCAGCGGGTCTGTTTGGTAGGAGCACGGGGGCCTCAGGGGAGCAGAGAGAGAGCTGGGGAGGAGGTGTGGGTCTGGGGCGCCTCTGTGAGGAGCGAGGAGCCACACCTGTGCTTTAGGAAATGGAAGCTGGCGCTGCAGCGAGGCGGTGAGGCAGCTGTTGGGACAAGACGCTTGGGAACTAGAACCCGGTGCTTTGGAGGCAGAGAAGGAAAAGGGTGATGCTGTGGCTTCAGGACATGCAGATGTGAGGAAGGAGGAGGAAACACAAAGATGCAATCCCACTCCTGTCACTTCAGGAAACTGGGAGCGTAGTGGTGCAAGTAAAGAACTAAGAACCTTGGGAAGAACAAATCTGGGAGTCTGGAAGAAGGGAGGGAGGCGAGATAGACATACTTGCTTTTGGACGTATCCATTTTGAGATTTTGATAATCCCCAAGTAGTAGTTGGAATGCTGAATTATCAGAAAAATGATTTGAGCTAATGGTTCTCAAACTTTTCAGGTCTGAAAATCACTTTAAATACAAAGTGGCAAATATTCATTGATAGTTTTACTGTTAGTATTTGTTGAGAATGCATATGACTACTACTATGAATTTGGTTACACTTTTAATTAAGTGACTATATTTTAGTAAGTCATAACGTGCTTGCTTACTTTTCATTTGCAAACTGGACATGTGTGAGAGGCATCTCACTCCGCAGCCAGTGCTGGTGTGCACTTGGATTTGAGAGCACTTGCAATAACCTTGGCCCCTGGCCTGTGAACCACTCCTCCAGCTACAGTTAGCAATCTGGAGGGCAGTCTCCGAGAGGCGGTGACTGAAGCTTGGGAGTGGATGTGCTCATCGAGGGAGAATAGCAAAAGGCAGTAGAAAAGAGACTGAATTTAAAACTTTGGGATTAAAGTTTTGCAAAGAACTGCAAAGGGAAGGTAGGGAAGACAACGTGTAAGTCTAGGTGAAAAGCATTTCAAGGGTTGGTGTCAAGCTGCAGAGAGAGGCCAGTAGTTACTCGTGAGTTCTGAGAGTGAGTTGTGGGGCCATACTGCAGGCTGAAGCCTGGAATAGACTGAGGCAGGAGTGAAGGAATAGTTCTCTTCCCTGGTGAGCAGGAAAGGCCTCTGTCCTACCCAAATCCCCACATCCCAGCGTGGAGGGAGGGTGTCAGGGAGGGTGTTCCCACAGCCCTATGGAGTGCCTCCTTGTGGTTCAAGGACTCAGCAGTTGGTGTTAGGGTATAAGCTCCCTGAGGGCAGGAAGTTGGTCTCATTCACCTTTTACCCCCTCTATTCCGCCGCAGTGTTCAATAACATCTCTAGAAAGGCTGCTGTTACGTGAAACCCAATGGCTGAGTTAGAATCTGATCAGCAGCCGCCTTTCATATCCAAAAGGGATGCCTTCGGATCGGTGCCCCAGTAGAATTCACAATCTAGTAACAGCACCTCCTGCTACTTTACAAACTACAGTCCTCTTTGTGCTCTCATCCTCATCCTTCCTCTTTCTTTCTTTTTTAAAATATATTTTATTGATTTTTTACAGAGAGGAAGGGAGAGGGATAGAGAGTTAGAAACATCGATCAGCTGCCTCTGCACACCCGCTACTGGGGATGTACCCACAACCAAGGTACATGCTCTTGACCGGAATTGAACCTGGGACCCTTCAGTCCCCAGGCCAATGCTCTATCCACTGAGCCAAACCGGTCAGGGCACTTCCTCTTTCTTATGGGGCTATATGCTGAGTTCCCATAACACAGATATTTCCCCCAAGAGATCAAAGGATCCCCTCCCAAATGTAAGAACTACACCTGGTTCATGTTGTAATATACATCATATGATGGTCCAGCCCCAGCCGTATTTTAAGAAGCCAATTTTAGTCATGAGAGATCCTAGGTCTCTTTCTTTATGGTTCCTGTAAATTAAAACACAGTATCAACTATCCCCAAACAACAAATATCTTATAAATGACCATTATATTCAAATGGTTTCATAATCACCACTCTTAACTCCTCCTCTTCATGATGTAGGAAACGTATGTAGATATAGGTATTCCTTACATCTATATCTATACACACACACGTACATACATAGCGTGTATATACGCACACTTTTATGAAATCTATGGCATTCCAGAGAGCCGCTCATCCAGGAGTAGAGAGGAACCTGGGGCTGACTCCCAGTGAGATGTGGCTTATTCATGCAGAGACTGTAAATTCTTTCCTCCCAACGCTGCCTGGATTTTACTTTAAAATTATCTAAGTTAACAGCAACCTCTTACAGACTTACAGAACACGTGGAGAACCTTGGGGAGGGTTTGCTTATGAGTCACTTACAGGTTAAGGTGAATTAGTTCCACCGTTTGTTTTCCTCTTCACATCTAGATGCGATCCCCTGCACACCAGCGGGATGAGACAGGAGGGCAAGGGTGAGGAAGGGATGGGAGCGCTGGGTCACAGGCTACATTGGAAGCCCTTGACGTGCCACCTCGCTGGGAAGAGGGGGCCTGGAGGCCGGGGGAAGGGCGCCATGGGTACACTGGAAGGCAGCAACTGAAAAGGTTTATAACAAGAACCTGGCTTGGGGAAGGATGGGCCTTAAACCTCGGAAATGGAGTCTTCTCACTTCTTCCTAGGCCTAGAGCTCGGCTAACATAATAACCGTAGCTCAGTTACATCGCGATTGGGGTTGGCCTAGCTATGAAACTCCTGTGTATGTGTTCCAAGTACCAAATGATTTACCCAGAGGCACTGATTAGTAAGCATGCAGTGATATATCTTAAATCAAGATATTTTTGGATTTTAATACTGTCATAGCTATGAATTAAACATTAGCTTCTAATAAAATTAATGGTAACTTGGGAAACTTAAAATATTTTTCTCTATTGATTCTTTTCTGAATTCTGAAATGACGCTGCAGAAAAACACTCTATCAGACCCCTTAAAAGTTCTAATGAAAGTGTAAGTTTAAAATTATCAAAATGAGAAAGAAGTAAATCAGATTTATTTTGCAAATAAACCATAATTATACATTAACCTAACTGTAATACCAATAAGTAAATCAGTATCATACAGTTCGGCTGGTAATTCTTCAAACAACCAACAGCCACGTCATTCATCACCCAATATGTGCCCTCTGATCATGTAGTATACACACAGTATATCTACATTTTATCTTTTTCAGAAAGTTCTCTTTAAAAAATATGAAATTAACATACCGTTTATATTCATGTGCAGCCTCCTAAATACAACATATTGAGAAATGACCAACTATCTGAAAGCTTAATGGTATGTTCAGCTGCGAGGATTCTGACAAGACGAGGATTACTGTTCCCCCCAGCATCGACTTCTCTAATTTCCCACTTGCCCCATCAAGTTTAAGAGAGTATATTCTATTGTACTAGTTTTTGAACATGTCAGTTCAGAAAGGAAATTTGCATTTAATGTAACTGTACAATTCTTCATTCTACTAAAAAGCATAAAAGAAGTAGGCAAGATAAGTCCAAAACAAAGGGGCTAGCAAACATGTGATGCTTGAGTGGGTACTGCTTATTCCTTAAAGTATTTTAAACACTCCACAATGAAATGTATGTACACAAGTTAATTATACATTAGCAAGATCTTAAACTGTTCAAAACATACTATAAAGTGGTCATGTCCATGAAAATAAAACAGATCATGTGTCTGTGGAATCCAGAATAGAGATTCATGTTTCAGGGTGTTTTTACAGAGCTCTCATTCCCAATAATACCCATGAGTAGCACAAACAAAAACAACTGGATTTATTACAATGGAAGAGATAGGCCTCAGTCTTAGGACAGTGTCTACGTCCACAGACACAAAAACCTGACATACTTCTATTCCCATCCAACCACCTTTTGCTTTAAATAAAGTTTATGCAATAAATTCTTCAAAAGTTTCAAACCCCCCCCCCATTTTGTAAGACATGTAATTTCTTATTTCAAAGGATCCACAGTGCACAGCCCCAGAATCCTTAATAACAAATCTTAAAGTGGTATTACAAGAAAATATCTGCCTGGCCGGCGTGGCTCAGTGGTTGAGTGCAGACCAATGGAGCCATGAGGTCAGGTTAGATCCCAGTCAGGGCACATGCCCAGGCTGTGGGCTCATCAAGCTCATCAATGATTCTCTCTCATCATTGATGTTTCTCTCTCTCTCCCTCCCTCTCTGAAATCAATAAAAATATTTTGTAAAAAAGAAAAATATTTAACGCCTTAACTTATTCTCTAAACAAGGAGAATGAAGACCTATTAACTTTCCTATAGAACAATGGGTGTTATTTACTAGTCACAAAAAGGAAATTTTAAAATTAATTTAGCCGAGATTACTCAATTTTATCAATAATTCTGAAATAAGACAAGATGCAAGGTTTTGTTAAACATAGCAAATTATTTACTAGACATACAAGCTGACTACATTTCCTTATATCAGCTATAGCATTCCCAAGGATTTTTGTCATTTTAATCAGAGACAGAATGAAATAAACTAAAACCCTACAATGCCTCAATGTCTTCATTACTCCTATTCTTACTGATATTCACATATAACAGGAAATCACCATAGCCAAGGAAAACATTTTTCTAATACCAAGGTGGCAGGTTAACTTTTGTGCAAGATGCTAAAAATAAAATAAGAAGCCTTTCAATGGCTCCTTGAAATTATTTTTTCCAGACCCAATTTTCCAATATCTTACACTCAAACAAGAATAAAGAAGGCTGCCCTTGCCAAACATCTGTAAGGACCCTTCTGTGCAGGATTTACACCTGTAAGCACAACGTAATTTTTAAAGCTTAACGAGAGGACAATATTTAATGTCTTACTACCGAAAAACGGAGGGAAAAGGGTACCCTTGAACCCAAGGGCCCCTGGACTGGCACTTAGATTAGAAGCAGCTCTTTGAAGTCCTCGGGAGGACATCAGCCGCCACCCGAAAGAAAGTAAATTTAGCTGTGTGTCCTCTCTTCCAGTGTTTCTCCCAAACCCACGCGGACGTTATGGCATGTCATCATCTGCTGCTTCACAGGAGGAACTTCCAGAAAGTGAAAACCTGAGAAGGTAACTCACTGCGTGCACTTTTCTAACAAAACAGCCCAGCACTGCCTACGTGACTAATCCATTTTAATTCCGCTCCTCTGTTCCTCTGCGATCTAATATTACCTGTTAAAACTGCCACAATATTTTTAAACAAGACCTGAGCGTTTCCCTTGCAGCTTCTGATCTTTGCACTCCGTGAGTTTGCAAGTTTGCAGACACATCACGGGCAAACCAACTGGTAGTGACAGGTGAACGCGGATGAAATTTTAAAATGACAGCTATCCCCAAATTGTGAACGCTTCCAAGATCTGCTGGTGTGAGAGTGCAGTGTATGCACGTCAAGGACTCCTCCAGGCCCCCAGGTGCAGAGCTCGGTCAGCGACCCCGGTCGGGGCGGATTCCTACCCCAGCACCTTCCGCCGACCCCCGCGGGCGTCCTGCGCGTCCTTTCTTCCCGCCGGCGCTGGGA